TCTGCCGTGGAGACCAAGGCGCGGCAGGGACGTAAACGGCCGTGGCAGGACTCGGCCGGGGCCCATCCCCGGAGCGCCGTGCTCACTGCTGCAGGGGGGCGCAGCTCAGAGTCGGATCGTGGAAGAATCTCGTGCGCGCGCACGCACACACTCACACGCCTTGTGCACGCGCACGCACGCCGACGTGCTGGCCTTTAACCTGCACCTGCGTAGTAGCAAGCGTGTTATGGTTAAAGCGTCGCGGCTCTGGTGTGCGTTGCTCTGCCTGTGGATCTTTCTTTTCCGCCGACAGCGGGCCTTGACTCCTGCGGGAGGGAATGGCTTAGCCGCTGGGCCGGAAGCAGACGTCCAGCAGTGTGGGTGGCTAGTGGGTGAAAAGGCCGAGGCACTCCCAGAGGGCGTGCGGACTTGGAGGGTGTAGTTCAGCCTAGGGTAGGAGAATCCTACCAGCTGTGCATCCTCTAGTGGGGCTGGGGAGCGGGTCTGCGCCCAGCGCTGCAGGTCTGCACGCGTGGCCGCGGCAGAGTAGGCAGCCCTTCGCTCACCCACTGCCTTGCTAGACCCAGGGCTCGCTGTGGGACTGGATAGGTGGGCCTCTGTGCAGGAACTCTCTGGAGCCTGTCACCCGCCATCCTAAGCACAACCCGTTCCCCAGTCTGAATGCTTTTTTATTTTAGAGAGGTTTTTGCTGTAGGGTACTTTGCTCATGAGAAAGACAGAGAAAAAGTGAGAAATCACCCCTCAGGGGAATGGCCCCTGCTGCAATCCCTTCTCCATTCTCCTGGGATTTTTGGGCACTCATGTTCACATGCCTGGCAGGAGTTTCAACCCTCCAGGGGCCCGACGAGTCCTTCCGCACCCAGCCATGTGCGAGTCCAGCATCTTAATCACTATGCCACCAGCTGACCCCTGAATGTTTTTTCAAAAATGCAGTAAGTTCCTTTTGATGTGGAAACAACCTTTACACTATTCTATTTCTTCCATCAGGAGGAGAAAAAAGAGCACTCGTGTTTAGACTGAGAAAATTTAATATAGAGCATTAACTAGGTATAAAATTGTTAACTAGGGGGCCAGTAGATAGCGTAACGGTTACATCATCAGACTCCCGCGTGGTTGACCATGGTTTGATTTCTGGACCCAGTGGCTTAAAACTCAGGGCAGGTGCGTGTGTTCTTGCGCCCAAGATCCTGAGAGGAGAATAGAGGGGAAGGGATTGGTGTGGCCATCTCCCTAGGGGGTGATTTCTCACTTTCTGTCTCTGTCTCACTGTCTTTCCAGTGAGCACATGAGCCCTGTAGCAAAAATCTCTTTTAAAAAAATTATTATTAACTAGGTACCTGAAAGGAGAGAAGGCAACCTCTGAAAGGGCCTTGGAGTTGGCAGCTGGAGGAAACAGCCACTGCCCCTCGGCCTGGGGTAACTTGGGAAGTGTTGGGACTCGTAGAACCTCGAGCCTTGGGGAGGGTCTGCACAGGCCCTGAACTTGGAGGGGCTGTTGCAGATACCGCAGCGGGAGGCACGGCCACCGCTGGGTGGTGCTTCAGGACTAGCCAGCAGACGAGAGTGCCCTGTGTCTACTGAGGACTGTGCAGGTCCATCTGTGCCCAGCTGGACCAGCCTGGCAGGGAGACCGGTCTGCAGTCCCAGGACCCAGCAGAGATGTCAGCAACAATGGCTTATGGGGATACAAGTTCTATGAGTGCTGCCTTCGCTGCCTCACAAACCCAGGGCTGAGTGGAAAGTGAGGCCCGGGGGACAGGAAGAGTGAATGGGTGACAGGTGACACAAACAGGATGAGGGCTGCGAACTGCTCGGCTCCCATGTGAGGAAGCTGCTACGACTAAGTCTCTGTCACCAGGTCTCTGAGTGTCACATGTCACAGTAAAGACCCAGAGTGTGAGTACATGTGTACGATGCCCCTAGCGTAATGTGGGCTGGTTACGTGGGTTTGATTTTCTTTAATCCTCCGTGGAAAAGCAGCAGGACTTGCCACTGGCAGTGCCAGTCTTCGCTGAGCCGAGTCCTGTAGGAAAGCACAGGAGGATGCATGTTTACTGTGCGCAGTGTTTCACGGGATCAGCCTCGCTGGAAGGGACTCGGTGCTGGCTCAGAACCCGCCCGAAGGGCACCGGCAACGAGAGGAGTCAAAGCATCGTGGCGCTAGGGGGCCACGGGCAGGCCGCCAGGGGGGTGTCAGTGGGTACGGCCTTCCGGGCGGAGGTCTTTGCAGAATGCTAGGCGGCCTTTCTGCCGATGGGAGCCTGAGCTTGTCGCCATGAAGGAGTTTGTGTCGTCTTCGGCAGAAACAGGACGGCTCGAGAGTGTCGTGCTCGCTCTGCTCTGCTGCCTCGTCGTGGGAGGGTCTCGGAGTTCGTTCCCGTTCCCTTCAGTGGCACGTCAGGAGTCGGGCAGGGTTCTGCTCACTTCATCATGCTTGAGGCCCTGCCGTCCCTCCCCCTACTGGAGAGTTGCTTGTTTTGACTGGGTAGTGAAGGGGGCTGGAAGGAGCTGGGCGCCACTCGCAGGGCACACCGGCTCCTGCGGGCCGTGTCAGCCCACGCTGCGCCCGTGAAGTGCTGAGCCTTGAGGCGTTTCTCTTCCTTGAAAGCACTCAGTTACCTTTCACTAGGCTTTGACCACGGCATGTTCGCCCTGTGGCCTCCTGTGTCCCGAGCGTGTGCCCGAGTGCACGCAGTGGCAGGTGCGCCTGCGCACGCGTGCTCCGATGGGCGGCTTCTCGCGGTGTCACTGTGTGATTCCCGTTGAGGTTGCATTGCGCGTCTTGTGTTGCAGGTGTTCGTCGGGGACCCTGTTACCACGTGCCTCTCTCCCACGGTCTATCACATGATCTGTGAAGTTGGGTTTGAAGTCAGAGGACATGTTGCCCTCAGTAGCATCGTGAGTGAGCACGGTGCCGTCTGCTGGAAAGCGTTCACGGACTGTATGCGCTACTTGGAGCCAGGTCAGTTCCCCGCGTCCCTCAGACTGGCCCATCAACCCTGTCTTGACTTCTAAAATTGACTCCCTTTCTATTCTTTTGCTAAAGAGAGAGGGACAGTTAGGAAGCACCCCCAGTGGGCGTGGTCACACTGCATTCCCTCTCCCTTTCAGGGTTTTGTGCTTGGACACATGTGCGTCTGGTATGTTTTTCAAGCAGATGGGCTAGGGTTTGAACTGTAGGCTTGCCCATGTGAGATCTAGCTCCCTTCCACTTGGCTGTAGGGCTGCCCCTACAGCCCTCCCTTCTGCCTATTGCTTCGTTTTGTTTAAGGACATCCCAGTACAGGCCTAGCTCATAGGAGAGAGGGGTAATTCAAGTATCTGAAATAGCTCCCAAGCATGCTGCACACTTTTTGAAGCCGGGATACAGCCTAGAAAATTCAGCGACTTACGAAGATTGCAGACGAGCATCCCCTGGCCCAGCCGTCCTGTCCAGGAGCTTACACTACAGGCACACTCAGGTGGAAAGTGCGTCTGCACGGGGTTTGCTCGTAGCGTTGTCTGTAACTGCAGAGTAAACGTGCGAATAATCCGGAAACAGCCAGACCAGCACAGGAGACGGGCCCAGCTTCGAAACGCACGCTCCGGAATGTCTTACGTCAGAGAAGAGCATGGGAAGGCCCATCTGATTCGGAAATCTGAGCCATGTGGGAAGGCGGGAACCTGTATCTGTACGGCTCAGACGTACATGAGTGTCTGTGGATCCCGGGAAGTTCGGGCTGGCAGTTGCTGGGGGAGGAGACCCTGGGGCCAGAGGCCATCGGAGAGGCCGTGACGCGCTCTGCTGTGCGAAGGTGTGCCCTGGCTCCCAGCCCAGGGGTTGCTGACGTGAGCCGTGTGGATTTTAGTCCCTGACTTAGCCGAGCCGTAAAAGCAACAGCAGTCACTATTGTAAATCAGACCACCTTTGTCACCGGGAAGCTCACAGCTGATGCCAGCCAGCACGAACCGTGAGGTCACTGGTGTTGCTCCACGTGAGACCAAAAGTGTGCACACGCGTGTGCAGGGGGACTTTCTCCTGTCTGGCCATGTCTGCATCTTGCCCACTTTCTACTGGTAACCTTTTTTTTTTTTGATCATTAGGCAAGCATTGTGAGATTTATATCTCCAGCCACGTGAAAGTACACGTATGTTCAGTTCTAAGCTGATGGTTGACGTTGTGGAAATTTTATAACTGAAGCATTCTTGTTGGTGACCTGGACGTTTTCAGTGCATGATGTGGGTGGTGACATGGCCTTGTTTTCTTGCCCTTTCAGACCAGGACCTGGATTACCAGGGGAGCCTGAGGCTGCTGGGCCCTGTGTGTGGAGCTGTCCACTCGCATCTCCTATCCCTGACCAGGGGGCAGTTCGAGGCTCGATACGTACCGTGGTTCCAGTGGACGAGTTTTCCAGAGGTTTGGCTTTTGAAAAACCATTAGGAACAGAGGACTTTGCAGACTCCACATAGAGGCCTTTATTACCTGTCACTTGTGGAGGAGTCTCCCGAGCCCGAGGCCCTCCAGCACCAGAGAAGCCTTGATGGTTGCTTGAAAACCTGGGCAGACATGCCAGGTCTGTGGCCTGAGCCGACGCACTTTCCCGGCCTGGGGCTTCGAGGTGGGGCAGCAGATCAGCCACTGCAGGATGAGATGGAGGCCGCTGCAGAGAGTGAGGGTCGTGGAGATGGGACAAGGGGGTGTGGCTGGGTGGTGGTGAGTTGCAGGGAAGGGGAGCAGTGTGGAGTCCAACCAGATCTTACCTGCATTTGTCTTTCTGGTTCGTTTCCCTCCATTTAACTGGGCACACTCAGTGACCACGGCGGTGCAGTTGCGATTGAAGTCCACTCCCAGGGCCCTGGGGAAGCCATGTTTGGCATGGAAGCGTCACTGCCTCTTTCTTAGCTGTGGCCCTGGAGAGTCAGGGTGACCCGCTCTGCCTTTATCTCAGCTGAAACGGAAGGGGAGAGAGAGGCTGAGGTGTTTGACTTTTCAGTTCACACTTAGGTCAGATCTACAGCTTTCAATAAACGTGAGGGCTTCAGACTCCTCAGATAGTACGATATCTTTGGTCGTCGTAATATTTACATAGAAAATGCTTGCGTATACTAGAGATACACTTGCAGTGCAGCCCTTGTCACGTTTAGTGTTTGACTTTGAGAATGATTTCTCAACGAGTGAGAGTTCTAACATGTGTCTTATTCTACAGTTATTTCCTGAAATATTTGATGCCTTGAAAAGTCTGCAGCCTCCCGCTGTTTCTCTTAGTTTAATGAAACTGACATCATGTCTGGAACGGGCCTTGGGGGATGTGAGTGTCAGGACTCTTTCAGAACCTCTCCATTAAGTGATCTGAGTGAACAAATGTGTACTATCACCCTCTGCTTTCTTGATTTCAATGATTGTTTACTTATAAAATGCCAGTTGGTACAGGTTCCTTTTGTAGATTTTTGCCATAGGGCACATGCGTTCCCCAGGGAGAGACAGAGAGGAAGAGTGAGAAATCACCCCTCGGGGGCATGGCCACACCACAGCCCCTTCTCCTCCGTTCTCTGTTGGGGATTTGGGCACACGTGCACACCTGCCTGCCATGATTTTCACACTGCTGGGTCCGGGACTCGAACTTCTCAGCCATTTGGGAGACCAGCGCCTTAACCACATGCCACCTGCTGGCCTTTGGCACAAGTTTTCAGTATTTCTCTAAATTATTATGAGATGGAAACAGTGACATAAATACCTTTTCTTTTGATTGCCAGAGGGTGAGCCTGTGTGAGGCAGAGGAAGGAGAACCCCCGTGGGGAGTGGCCACACGCAGTCTTTTTCCTCCACTGCTCCTTCCTGCCCGTATTTTCAGCGTTCATGCATGTGTGCCAGTGTGGTTCTGAAGCTGCCGGCCGGGGTCGAGGCGCGGTGGGCTGTGCGCCCCAGCTAAGAGCACCCAGCTAAATGGCCGAGAGCACCCCAGCTGAGAGCACTGGGCTGAGCGGCTGAGAGTCCCGCACCCGGCTGAGCGGCCGCACGGCCCTCCTTGTCAGTGCTCCTCCGTGCATGGCTGCCTCGTAGGTGGCGTTTTCTTCACTGTCGCTCAGTGCAGCGCACTGACTTTGCCATTTCTGCTTGAGCTCCAGGTGTTC